CTAATATATTTTCATTTAAATGCAATTAGATATAATTATATTTAATAATGGTTGTTTTAACAACTGGCTTACCAAAATCTTTAAAAGTGAAAACTTGGCTCTCATCCTCTGGTACAAGCTGACTCTAGTTGAATATTAAATTATTGGAAAATACCTTACTCATCATAATTCAAATGTGTAACTTTTTCATAATCAATCAAAATAACAGCTCACTGGGATACAAGCAAGGAAATCCAGGGGAATTCTTCGTGCTGATGCATTTGGCAGGATGCTTACTGTATAAGCAATCCCTGTATCTCTGCTGACGTCAGCGCTAACCAACTCAATAAAGTTATAAGAATGACTGTCTGAGAAATTCAGACTTTCCCCCATTTTTGCTTTTGCCACTTGTTGAACTTGTGTATTTTATTCCTTCTTGTTCTTGCCTTCCACCTACTTGTCATTTTCTTGTTGCCCATTCATTTTCCTCTTTTTCCTCTTTTTACCCTCTACCCTTTCCACTCCTTTCTTTTTTCTCTGTCATATTTCTTTAGTCTTTGTTCATCCTCCCTCTTTCTCTTCCCCAGCCTACCTCCAATACCTGTTCTGTACTTTCTTACCCTGTAGGATTTAGGATGAGTTCTGAGGACAGGGTTGCTGAGAGAGTTTCAGTGTTTCACAGCTGCTTTGTAATGTGCATCTGCTTCACACAGTATTTATACTCCCAGCATGGTCAGCTGCAAGGTACAGATGTGAGGTCACTGCGGTGAAGTTGTGGACTATGTAAACCAGGGTGTGTGCCACACTTCGGCTGTCTCTCCAGTGCGGTCATTTCCAAGGGAGCACAGTCAGCTGAGAAAGGGAATAAGAACTGGGGTCAGAGGATAGCTGGTGGAGAAATCAGAAATACCAAGTATTTGGCATTACTGGGGAAAACATAGACAAATTAGAGTTCCAGATTGCTAACTGCTGGATGATCATTTATTGATTGAAAGCTCCAGTCCTGTTTGCCAGTATGGTGGCTGCTGCCCACATATGGCCATTGAGGGGTTGAAATGTGGCAAGTCTAAATGTGCTGTAAATATGAAACACACCAGATTGTAAAGATACTGTATAAAGAAAATGTAAAATATCTTTTTTTAAATACTAAGTACTTCTGAAAAAATACGGTAATAAGCTGGATTACTTAAATATTATATTACTTTAATCTTTGTCTTTTAAAATGTTAGTAATAGAAAACTTTAAGTTGCCTTTCTGGTTTGCATTATTAAGAGCACTTGAGTTTGACTGAATTAAAAATCTTTCAATTTCAATTTCATTTTCAATTTACAGTCAAGTGTGATGAATGAATTGATATTTGAATCTCCTAGCATGGTAAATTTGCTACCTTTAATATATCACTCCAAAGGAGCAACTTCTGTTACCATTTCCACTTATTGGTATCTCTATTGAGAAGCAGAGGAGTCTCATTTATGGTCCATCCAAACTATAGCCAGCCACAGTGTCCTTGTGGAGAAAGCCGCCTAGGCCCTTCTTTCCACCTGAAGGCAGCTCTGTCATGTGATTTTTTGACCGCTGTGGACTTGGGCTCTGGGTCCTACCAAGAGTAAGATGTGAGAGGCCTAGATTATCAGGTACTGCACAGTTCTCTGCCCAATGGAGAGATTTCATTTTGAATGCTAAGATTTCTCATTTTGGAACATCCTCAGGATGACTTATGCCAGGTAAAAAGGCTGTGGGAAGAAACAGAAGCAAAGGCAGCGCTAAAGAGAAGCTGGCAACAGAAGGGAAGCAGACAAAGTGCTGAGGTGAAGCCAAGTCACAGCAAGAGCTGAGACACGGGGAGTGTGCGAGGTGGCTGGGGCTCCAGGGCTGGAACATTGCTCAGAGCTCGTGAGGGCTGCCTGCGGGCCCCTCATGTTTCCTTACTTTGTGTGACACCTTTAAAACAAACCTGAAGCCACTCAAGGTGACCTCAGGTGTTCTGTGCTTTGTAACTTGTAAACAAAGGCAGAAATACAGTAGGCAAAAGTCTTGATTGAGAGGGATGCTAAAAATAGACAATATATATGTGCTTGTGGGGAGAAAGAGAGGGAGAGGGAGAGAGAGAAGAGATTTTAAAAGAATAAAAACACTACACAGCAAAATTATCTGCACATAGGGTTATGAGCATACTATTCTTTGCTGCTGTTTGTGAACAAGGGTTTTTAGAGATTTTAGAAACCCCAGGTGAAGGTGGGAGCAGTGTATAAATTCTTGGGAACACAGAGGAATAAAAATGTTGGGGGCTTTGGGACCAGACCCACTCAGTTTTGAGTCTCGCTTCAATCTCTTACTAGATGATGACTTCAGGCAAGTTTCTTATTCTCTCTCAACCAGGTTCCCCTCCTGTCAAGAGGGACTCTCGTATATGCTCTATGCATTTGGTGGTGAGAATGAGCCAGTCTCCACGATGGGACACTTCCTGCGTTCAGTGATAAATGCAAACTTGGATGATGATGATGATATGGCACAGTGTCACTCCTTTACTTGGATCAACTTGTTTTTGAGAAACAAATTAAAAATCCCTTCATTTGCTGATAAATTGTTGAAACATATAGGTCTCTCCTTATGGTTTGTGTCTAGATGTCCCCCCAAGGTCTCATGCAAACATAGAATTTTTTCAAGTTGCTGGACCTAGAATATGTGATGGATTCCTAGTGCAGTGATGAGATTAATGGTGCGGATTAAGGGTAGGTAACTGCTAGATCAGTCCACGGATTGGCTTGGCACCGCTCTGATCCCAGGAGATTATATACCATATGAAGGACAGAAACAGATTCTCTCTCTCCCTTGTTGCTTTTGCTGTCTTCTTTTGCCATGAACTGTGGGCCCTCTGCCATGTGTCACTCTGCCTTGGAGTCAGCTGATTATGGAATGAACTTTCTACAAACTGTGAGCTAATAAAACTTTCCCTCTTTAACTTTGGGCATTGGACATTTCATGTTAGCAATAAGAAAAGTAACTAAGACATCTCTGGACAGAGGAAGAATGTGTCTTTAAACAACAAAATTCCAAGTGATTTTTTTCTCTCTAGAGGGAAATATATAATGAGAATGTGCTGACCATACTTGTTTGAGAATTTCTGAAATGAAAAATATTTTAGAGATTAGTTTGTTCAACAAGCTGAGACTATCCTCTCCACTATCCTGTTGAGTATGTGTCCAGCACTGTTTTCCATGTGCATAAGGCAGACTTACTTTTGTATGTTTAGGTGGGCAATACAGCAGACAAGTGTTACTTATTTTTGCTGTTATATATAGTTACTTATTGTGTGATTTATGCCCTATAATAGTATAGAGATATATGTGTTACATGTAAGTTTTAAAGTTCCAATATTATTGCAAAAAAATTTTATTTTAAGAACTTAGCCCTTCATCAGCTTTATACTTATATAAACATATTGTAATCATTCATTTTCAAATTGACCCTTCCTTCTGTGAACAAATCCACTTGGAAATTTTTATCTGCATTAGTAATCTCCAGCCATTCCCTTAAATCCTATGTATAAGTAAGACATCAAAATGTGTTTTAAAACAATGATCTGTACTCTGCAACCAACATAAAAAAAATATCATGTTGGTTTTCTCCCTTCACTTCAAGAAAAGGCCTCAAGGTAACTCCCTCCATCCTTTTCCAGTCAGATGTTTCAAATCACAGAGCCATGGATCCTATTCCATCTTGTCACCACTTGGCCATCTGCCATGCAGTGGGAAGGATGACTGGCCTGAACCTTGAACTATCGGAGATCTCTAAGATACTGGGGGAAATCAGGGTGGAAATTCTTCAAAATCACACTACTAAATTACACATGACCCAGTAATGCCACTGCTAGATATACAAAAATACATATGGTTCATACTTTTTTAAAAAAAATTACAATAAAAGACACATTGCCAAGAATGAGAGAATATGTGCATTCAAAGTAAGGGAAGGGGTATTTTGAGGGGAATTAATGCCAATATGTCTTTTACTGTGATAAATATTTTTATTTAAACATTTACCATATGCTCTGATCACCCCTCATTGATCAAACAGATACAGGACTTGGTGTGTCCTCATCCAGCTGTTCACTAGATCTGGCACTGTGTGACTTCTGGCTCTTCTCCATAGTCAAAATGACAATGAAAGTCAAATGTTGCAATCAATTCAGCTCATCAAGGCAGCCATGACAGCATAAGTAAAGACACTCATGAAAGAGGGCTTCCAGAACTGCTTTAGAAAGTGGCGAGAATGATGGGATGAGTGTGTTCAAGGAGAAGGAGGGAGTATTGTGAGGGTGATTAATGTCAATGTGTCTTTTACGGTAAGGATTTTTTAAAATGTAAATCTTCATCATATTTTTGTTGCATTTCATATACCCAAGAGAATTAAAAGCAGTGATTTGAAGAGATATTTGTACACTTAAGTTTTAGCAATATTATTCACAAAAGCCAAAAGATGAAAACAGCACAGATATCCATTGATGGATGAATGCATAAACAATGGTACATCCACACATTGGAATATTATTCAGCCTTAAAAGGAAGGGCATTCTGACACATATCATAAGACATGTGGTAGAACCTTGGAAACGTGCTAAGTGGAACAAATCAGTCACAAAATAACAGATATTGTAAGATTTCACTTACATGTCGTATCTAGAGCATATAAATTCACAGAGACAGAAAGTAGAATAGCAGTTACCAGCGGCTGAGAAGAGGAAGACATGAGCAGATATGATTAGTGAGCACAGAGCTGCAATTTGAGATGATAAAAAACTGGAGATGCATGGTGGTGATGGTTTACAACCATGGGAATACAGCTAATTCCACTGACTTACACACAAACGGTTAAAATGATAAGCTTCTGTTCTGTTTATTTAAAGGGTGCACTTAGGTGATAATGACCTTGTGTAACATGTAATGCCACTTGCATGCAGCAGGGGGAGAAAGGGATTTAACATCACAGAAACTGTATTCAGTCTGTTCCTGCAGCCAGCTCTGACCCTGTCAGTGAACATTCACACACCTGCAGCTCCGTGAGAAGGTGCCAGTCCCACGGTAAGAACTGTCAGCTCTGTTTGTTGCAACATTTGTGAAAACGAAATAAGGGTTGCATGGGTCTTGTCTAAAGAAGAGATACTTTGAGTTTATCTGGATGGAAGCAAAGTAGACTTACTCAGATTTTTTAGTAGGTATTACTTTGCTTAAAGGTTAGTGACGACTGATGAGTGATGCATAGGGCTATTGATCAGAGCAATCATCCTGCAGGAGCTTGTGGATTTGGGTTTTCTGTCATGAATTGCAAGTTAACCTCATCAGCTTCCAGCGAGGATGGTCCCAGGAATTAAGGCAAGTTTTTTCATAGCTTTTATTTGCCATCAGCTGCAGAGATGTGTGGTTGAAGCACTTCTGTTGGTCTTTTACTCAGTTTGCAAGCTCTGTATGTATGGTGTGTGTTCAAAAGTTGGGCTGGGTGGACGGACCTTGCACAATACAGTTTCCTTCAGAAAAGTGCCCAAGGATGACCAAGAGGCTGCTGTTGAGTTCAGTTCACAGATCTCCTTCTTGGAGCTGTCAATCAGGGCTCTGTGCACCTTGAGTTTTGCTTCAATTCACATAAACTTAGAACTCTCCTAACAACATAGGTACACATCAGCAGTGTCTCTTAGGCTTGGTGGCACCTAGCAGTGTCCCATAGCAGTGGTACTCAGCTCGGAGAGAGGACATGGGGTTGGGAGGAAGGAAGTAGCCCCTGCAGCCACCAGGCAGGTGGAAGGGAAGACCTCAGCCATCGTATCCTGAGCCACATCATTTCAGGGTCACATCTGCCTTTGATGGGTTTAACCACCACGCAGAAGGGTCCAGGGAATTCTGAGTTTAAATCCTTCTACACTGCTTAAGGAAAAGTTACTAAACCTCTGGATGTTAGCACCTTTATCGGTAAAAGAGGAGTAACAGTAGCCACCATTTTGTTGCGTTGTTGAGCGGACTGCATAAGAATATGTAGGAAGTACTTAGCTCTGCATTGGACTCATAGGAGATGCTCAAAAATGACATTCTTATTGTTATGATACAAAGATTGTTCAACATTCAGTGAGATTTAAAACCTTTCCTCTCTATGTCTTGACATTACTGGGAAAAGAGAAATTCCCAGGTCATAAAGTATGCATTCTTCAGCAAACTACCAGTTGCTATGGCACGGTGTCTTTGGACTTGGACTTTCAAACTACAGCTAATACAGAAAGTCATTCCTGCTTTTCATCTACCGTCAACATAATAATAATAGTAGTATCCTGTATGCTTTTTTCATCAAAAGTTTATATCCCACTTTTTAGAAAATGCCATTATACCCATGCAATTAGCTGAGAGAGAAGACTATTTTTACTTTCTTATATTAAGAGAAGTTCAAAAAGAGTTAGTTCCTCTCTTGTTACAGTTCCAGGTACAGCTGTGGTCTCGGGCAGGGGAAGAAGTGGGTAAGAGGTGGGAACTCTGAAACTGGGGCAGATTCTGCCACCACCTTCTTCAAGGGCGATGGCTCCCACACTTAGAAGATTAAAGTACAGAACATGCTCTGTGAGGTGATAACACACAAATCACCTTTAGCAACATAATGATTATGATTGAGTGAGGGATAAGGAGACATGCCAAGCCATCTGGAGCCTGAGGGTAAAGAAAAATTCTGCAACGCTGATCCTAGCTATGATTTTTTTTTTTTTTTTTGGTAGTACTGAGACTGAACTCAGAGTCTTGGCACAGAGCAGCATCCCCAGCCTTTTTAAATTTATTTTGCTTTGAAACAAGTTGTCGCTCACTGACCAAGCTGGTCTTGAATTTGCAATCCTCCTGCTTCAGTCTCCCAAAATGCAAAAATTTTTTGTAGTTGTTCAACATGGATTTTCATGTAGTGATTGAATTTTTAAATATTTCATTAAAAACTCTTGATTATGGAACTCCTTGTTACCCCCTTAAAAATTTATGACTTACTAGCCTTACTTTTGTATTGGGCCTGATAAGTGCTTGTGTGTGAGAAGCTAGGTGTGACACTAAGTAATTGTTTACAACATCTATTTTGTGCTTCTGTATAAATCTCATTTAACAGATGAAATTAAAGCTGTCAGAGGTTAAATAAGTGGTCCAAGTTACACAGCCAGTCACGGGTAAACACTGGGCTTGGACACAGACTTATGGGTCCCTAGCACCAAATCTACTCTTTAACCATCATGCTCTGCACCCCACCAGGAATCCACAACATAAACATACTCATTTGACATTAGTTTCGAAATCACATTATGCGCCATCTTGTGCAGGGGATGAAATAATATCATGCATTCATTGACACACACGTTGAGCATGTGTTCACCAAGGCTCTGCATCAGATGCAGAAGTGAGCAAGTCTGCCAGCTCTCGTGGGGATGGGTGGTGGAGGCGGTGGTCAAGCAAATAAACACAAGCTCATCTGTAAGCCGCCATTCATAAGAGACAGTGAATTCATGGAGAGCTATTTTTTACATTTAGTGGCACGACATTAAAACTTCTGAAATACTGTATGATTTTAAGCTGAAAAAAATGTAGACATTTGTAAGGAAATGGATGTACTTTGAGACCATAATATTAAATAAAATAAATCAGACAGACTTAAATAGTGCATGGTTTCCCTTATATGAAAAACCCAAAGTAGAAATAATCTAAAGCACAAAGTAAAAAATAATAGGGAAAAGGGAGAAAGAGCTTTTGCAAACTGGAGGGGAATCTGGGTGGAGGAAAGAGTGAAGGAGAAGAGGAAGAGAAGTGGAGAGACTTACAATGTGTTATGTATGTGTACCAACTTCCCACAATGAGGCTAATCCTTATGTCCTTCAAACATGTGCCAGTAAACATCTTCAAATATTAGATAAATAAAGTATAAGCTTCATAGTTCATAAGTTCATAAAGTATAAGCTCCATAGCTTCACAAAAGCTATGGGTACAATCTTTATCACCAACAAACACATACATATATTATTTTATTTACATTATGTCTCTCTTATTCATTAGAATGCATGCCATGTTGAAGAGAGCTTCTTTTGCTCCCTGCTGTTTCTTTGAAGCTTAGAAAAGTTCCTGGCTGACTAAGCACTTAATAAAGATCCTGAATAGTAACTATGGTGAGAATCTTAGTTTTCTGAGCCTCTCTGTTCTATGTCGAATAACTTGAAGACTGACTCTTCTCTCATTCCTCATAATATTCCATCCATGAGTTTCCTTATCTGCAAAATGGGGACAAAAGTACTTCCCTCCCTGCAGTGCTAATAAGACAGTACATATGAACCATTTATTATATATTGTGATGCTTTGAAAGCTTCTAAGAAATGGAAACTGTTCTTCATCACTGTGTATGGTTATTGTTTGGCGGTGACCCAGGTTTCTTTGGCCACCATTCTGAAGACAAGCAGAGGCATAAGGACAACATTCATTCTGTTCCTGTGACTTGTACCTTCCATGGATATGGGTAAGCATTGGTGAAAGTCACATACAGGGACTCTACACTCACAAATAGAAAAGGTGAGGTGCAACTCATGAATGTAATTCAAGGGCCCACAATATTTGCTGATAGAATGTTACTTTCAGTCCTCTTAAAACCTTAATGCTATCTAAGACTATTAGGGGAATATGGAGGCAGATATGGATTTTGACCTAACAAAGTAGTTCCTAAGCAAGGTTGGGAGGTGTGTGTGTGTGGAGGGTTCTACCAACTACTCTGAGCTGCCTCATTGTGGGAAACATGGCACATGCAATAATTGACTTGGAGACTGATCAGCTGTGTCTCTGAGATCAAGTCCAAGATTCAACACACAGATTGAGACCTTACTACAATCTCTTCATGAATATAGGCAGATACTGGCCTTAAAAAGTCTGTATGATGAACCAATTTTTAAAACCAGTATTATATGCTGTATTTCCAGGGGTTTGGATTCATCTTCGTGATTTAAATGAGGAAGTCAGTGATAAGATACTTGGAAAGAGAATGGGACTTATCAGAAAAATTTATATATTTTGTAATATTGTTATGTCAGTAGAAGGCTGGGCTCCAAAACTTCCAGAAGAAAAGGAAATGACCACCAACTACTCCGGCATGTCTCTGAGAAAGGTTCCCACACTGGCCCCCGCCACGATCACACTGGATTTATCCCACAACTTCTTATTTCAACTCCAGAATTCCGATTTTCTTTCTGTCTCCAAACTGAAAGCTTTAATTGCATCCCATAACAGAATCCAACAGCTGGATATCAAGATCTTTGAATTCAACAAAGAGTTAAGATATTTAGATTTGTCTCACAATAGACTGAAGGTGGTAACTTGGTACTCACTGACAGCTCTCAGACACTTAGATCTTTCCTTTAATGACTTTGAAACAGTGCCTATTGGTGAGGAGATTGGCAACATGACACAACTGGAAACCCTCGGTTTGAGTGGAGCAAAAATACAAAAATCGGATTTCCAGAAAATCGCTCATTTGTATCTCAATACTGTCTTCTTTGGGCTGAGAAGTCTTTCTCACTATGAAGAAGGTAGCCTGCCCCTCTTAAATACAACAAAACTTCACATAATTTTACCAATGAACATACATTTCTGGGTTCTTTTGCGTGATGGACTCAAGACTTCAAGAATATTACAAATGACAAACATAGACGGCAAAAGCCAGTTTTTAAATTATGACACTCAACAAAATCTGACTTTAGAGAATGCCAAGACATCTACTCTGTTATTTAATAAAGTTGACGTACTCTGGAATGACCTTCTCCTCATTTTCCAATTTGTTTGGCACACATCAGTGGAATACTTCCAGATCCAAGAAATGACATTCGGAGGTCAGGTGTATCTTGACAATTCATTTGACTACACAAATACCGTAATGAGAACTGTAAGACTGGAGCATGTCCATTTGAGAGTTTTTTCTATTCCACAGGATACAATCTACTTGCTTTTTACAAGGATGGATATAGAGAACCTGACACTATCAGATGCAAAAATGCCTCATATGCTTTTCCCTAATTCTCCTAAAAGTTTCCGGTATTTAAATTTTGCCAATAATATCTTAACAGATGAACTGTTTAAAAATCCTATCCAGTTGCCTTATTTGAACACTCTGATTCTGAAGGGTAATAAGCTGGAGACACTTTCCTTAGTGAGTTGTTTTGCTAACCACACAGCCTTGATGTACTTGGATCTAAGCCAAAATCTCTTGCAGCACATAAATGATGAAAATTGCTTGTGGCCAGAAACGTTGGTCCATATGAACTTGTCATCGAATAAATTTGCTGATTCTGTCTTCAGGTGCTTGCCCAGAAATATTCAAATTCTTGACCTGAACTATAACAACATTCAAAGTGTCCCCAAAGAGATTACTCATCTGAAGTCTTTACGAGAGCTAAATATTGCAGTTAATTTTCTAACTGATCTCCCTGAGTGCAGTCATCTCAGGAAACTCTCAGTTCTGAACATTGAAATGAACTTAATTCTCAGCCCATCTCTGGAATTTTTTCAGAGCTGCCAGGAGGTTAAGACTCTAAATGCAGGAAAAAATCCATTCCGGTGTACTTGTGAATTAAGAAATTTCATTCAGCTTGAAAAATACTCAAAGGGCATGATGGTTGGATGGCCAGATTCATACATCTGTGAATATCCTTTGAATCTAAAAGGGACTCTATTAAAAGATGTTTATCTTTCTGAGTTGTCTTGCAACACAGCTTTGTTGATTGTCACCATTGTTGTCCTCTTGCTGATTTTGATGATGCCTGTGGCTGTCTGTTTCCTCCGCTTTGATGTCCCCTGGTACTTCAGGATGCTGGGTCAATTGATGCAGACATGGCACAGGGCTAGGAAGGCAGCACAAGAGCAACCTAGGAGAAACATCCAATTCCATGCATTTATTTCATACAGTGCACACGATTCTCTCTGGGTAAAGAATGAATTGGTCCCCAATCTAGAGAAAGAAGATGGCTCTGTCTTGATTTGTCTTTGTGAGAGAAACTTTGACCCTGGCAAGAGCATTACTGAAAACATCATTAACTGCATTGAGAAGAGCTACAAGTCCATCTTCGTTTTGTCCCCCAATTTTGTGCAGAGCGAGTGGTGCCATTATGAACTCTACTGCCATGAAAATTCTGATCACATCATTCTTCTCCTCCTGGAACCCATTCCACTATACTGTATTCCTACTCACTTTCATAGGCTGAAGGCTCTCCTAGAAAAGAAAGCATACTTGGAATGGCCCAAGGATAGGCGTAAATGTGGGCTTTTTTGGGCAAATCTTCGCATTGCTATTAGTGCTAATTTAACAGACATCAGAGAAATGTGTGAACTACAGACTTTCACAGAACTGAGTGAAGAGTCCCGGGGTTCTGCTGTCTCTCTAATAAGAACAGAATGTGTGTAAAGTACCTGCCAACCCCCAGGGCAACTGGGGACAACATATACTGTTGGAACATGAGCGGATACAGCTTTTATGATGGCAATTTGGCAATATCTATTAAAAGGAGAAATGAAAAAATCATGTCCATTCCTAGAAAAATTTCTAAGAATGTATTCTCAGAAACATCTGCAAACATTTGCAAAGGTTTGTGTAAAAAGGTGTTTATAATCATAAAAAACTGAAAAGCATCCCAAATGTCCTCCAAACATTGATTCAAGCAAGTATAAAACATCTATGATGGAATGCTATATAGCCATTAAAAATAATTAGGCAGTTCACTATTCATTGGTGTAGAGAAGCTTGCATTAATATGTTAGTTTATACATTGAAATAAAAGTATATGAGATTCTATATCTCTAGGTTGAATAACAGGAAGCATTTTCTTTCTATGTTGTACTTCTCTATAATAGTTGAATTATTTAGAGTGACTCTGTATTTCTTTTTCAAATAAAAAAATTAAGATAATTTGTAAAACCTACACATCCTACTTGTTTTGTTTGATTCTGCTTCTCTAGACTCATAGGTCACAGAAGGAAAACAAGCATGCCTCAATCTTGCATAGTTACATTTCAAAAACAAACATGATATCCATTCCCTAGTTGGGAAAAATGTAGTTTATGCCCATGAAAAAGAAAAAAAAATACCATGCATATTTGAAATTTTTCACCAATCTCTTACCGCTTTCCACCCTATCATTAAGCCCTGTGTGTCCCCAGAGCACCCAGTCTTCTTGGTGCCTTGGTGTGGTGCCTTCCCTCAAAGCCTTCCCCACTCTGGAGGTATTGAAGGAAATGTCCCCACTGGTAGCCTGCTAGCAGTTCTCCACATGGCACCCCTTCACTGAGCTCAGTTTTCCACGTGTTCTACTGTTTGCCATGGTGTACTGCTGGTCATGATCCTTGCAGCCTGCTCCAGGCCACCTGATGAAGTGGACCTGACAGTGTGCCCACACATCCTCGGGGGCTGACCACAAGAAGCAACGGCTGAGTGTGGGTTTGGAGGTGGTCTATGACTGGAAGTCAGTTTCGATAGCCAGCTGTTAAGATGCTGCTCCTTTTCACAGACCAAGTAGCCAAGGAGCCACAGAGCTGTGGGAGGACCCAGCTCCAGGTGTGCAGGTGTCCAAGGGCAAAAGTGCTGCTAACCATAGGGTCATTCAGGCTCAGGCTTGGGGACCTTGGGCGAGGGGTTTGGGTCAAGACGGCTCCAAACCCAGGCTCATGTCTGCCTCCTCACAATGAGAGATTTGAGGGGTAATAAAAAATATGGTGAATGTTTGATAATTTAAATTTTAAAAATATTATTCATCTATTTATTTTTATTAGTACCGGGGATCAAACTCACGACCATGCACTTTAGGCAGGCACTTATGCTGCTGAGCTAAATCCCCAGCCCCATTAAACCTTAAAAATGTTATTATAGTAAAAGGTATATTGCCACAAATCATCTCAAAACACTCTCCCTCACTTCAGATGCACTTATCCCTCATTCTGGCCACTTTCCTGTAGGGAAATTGAATCTGGAGATTGATCACACGTGTGGAGCTAAAGCAAGCCAGCCCCAAAAATGCAGAGAGCCCAGAACAAGCCATGTAAACAAGCTCTTCCAGTTCCCAGAAGGCAAGGGGCCAAAGCCAGCCAGGCAAACAAGTTGCTAGGCAGCAGGGTTGAAACTGACATCATCCTCTTGAGTATAGAAATAAATGTGCTACAGTGGTTGAGCAGTTCCTTCTCTCTCATCAGGAGAGTAAGGGCTCCACCTGACCCCAGCTTTTGTCTCTTCTTTATTTTCTCATTTTCTTGGGGTTCTTTACCCCAAGAACCTCAAGAGCTGCCTGGGTCGCAATACTTTCCAAAGTAGCTCTGGAGGTCCTCTTTCCTGAATGTCTTCAGTTATGCTGCTGTGGCTGCCTTGATGTTCTGGATCCATTCAAAACATTTGCCTTTCCTGAACATGTTGACTTTGGGAATGAGCCAGAATAAGATGGAGAGGACACACTAATGTTTTTTATGAGCTTGCCTTTCCATTGAATGGAGCAACAGTCACTGTATTTTTTAATCTTGCTATGTAAGACACTCACAACAAAAGACTTTCAGACCTGTTTCAGAAATTAGCAAGAATGATGAGATAAACGTGTTCAAACTGAGGGGGATGATTTTGAGGGGAATTAATAGCACTGTATCTTTGACTTTAATACATTTTTTTTTTATTTAAACATTCACTGTGAGGTTTTTTTTTTTATCTCACCCAAAACTTGCCTGCAAAGTAAGTCTGGTGGTGACATCCAGGCTTCTTTAAAGTAACTACTCAAGCAAGATGCACATTCTGATAATCAGTTTGAAATATTTGTATGAAAATCCAAATATAGTACATTTTAAACCCTTTCACATTCCCTAAGACATTGCAACATTCCCTTTGCACTTCACATCACTGCCCCAGTCACATTCCCCAGGTTGAAAGTGACAGTGCACCTTATTCACCTTCCTTGCTGTCTCAGTTACTGTTCCCATTGCTGAGACAAAATACCCGACTTAAAAAGTTAAAGGCAGAAAGGCTTCATTAGCTTACAGTTTGTAGAAGATTCGGTTGGTAGTTGGCTGGGTCCACAGCAGGGTGGCATGGCAGAGTGACATCACAGAGGACGGTGCCTGGCAGGCAAATGGCAGCAAAGCAGAAGCCAGCAGGCAGCAAGTGACAAGTACCAAGTGACTACTGCAGCCCTCTTTCTGTCTCTTGTATCTTATTCAGACTACCTACCCTTGGGAAGCGTATCAGTCACACCTAGAATGGAGCACCCTTCATCCTAGCATCACACTATGAATCAGTCCCTGAGTTACATCCTTAATCTTAGCATCACACGCTCTAGATCCAGCCATCTATGAAAAGCCCACCCCATGACCGCATGAGGCTTTGGGGGAGACATCTAAACGCTAACCATAACACTTGCTTTTCATTTCTCCATAGCATTTGTTGCTTTCAGAATTATAGTGCCACTTTTCTGTTTATCTTGGCTGTTCTCTGTCTTCCTCACTAAAATGCATACTCTTTTTGGAGCTGAGATTTTTGTTTGTTTGCTGACAAGTGTTGTTTCTTTCTCTGCCTGGAACAGTGCTTGGCACATAATCACCCTCTCCCACATTTTCTTCAAGGGAAACATTTCGTAGACCTGCGGTAGACTCCCAGCTCCTCTGAAGTTCTGCAGGGTTTCTGCTTCTGAGGCTGCCTGCTTCAGTGAAAGCCTCTGTTGTAATAGGGATATAGATTTTACTCAGCAGTGGACATTCTTTCCCTGTAATAAATGTATTTTTGTTGACACTTTCTGGGAACTGCCAGCAGTGGCCTGTGGGGCTCTCAGCCTTCATCCACACATTTTCTGTGACTCTACATTTCCTCTCTGGGAGCTGCCTGATCTCAGGGACTTTCCCCTTGAACTACCTCAGAGTCTTCAGATTGTATAAATCACCAAAAATAGGGTGTATGGCTCCCCCTCCCCAGCCATTGTCCCTGCCCTTATTGCCCAGTCAGCGTCTCTAGGGGAATCCAAGAACCATTGGTCCAGTGCAGCCTCTGCCATGGGACCACATCTCAGCACTAGGGGACCTTCCTTGAATTTTTTAAGCCCTTCTCAAGGCCTGGCACAGCCAAGTCTGGCCACATTGTCCAAGAAGGAGAATTCTGGCTCTGACCCAGTCCTACATGGATCTCCATCCACCCTTTTCCCAGCTGAGATGACTTCTGATCCTCTGCCTTGAACATGATGTTAGCCAGATATCCCAGAGTTCTGAAACGTACAACCACAGGATCTTCTCAAAGACTGCTAGTCAGGTCCCCATTTAAGGTGGGCAGCCTTGCAAGTAGATCATTTCTGCTGGCTAATGCAGTGTAAAAACCTTGAGATGGAGCACTGGGAGGGTGCTGACATTGATTTGGTGTGAGTTACACTGATTATAAGATGATTTCAAGGCTCAGAACCATCCAATCTTTTGGGTCTGAGTCCCTCTGTGTATTGACTGTGACACTACTTCCTGTCTTCAACACTTAATGATGGCAAGGTGATGTTAGATGTGCTCCATCATGTCCCTCAGCCTCTGGCAGTAGAGCAGTAGCGACCACTGCTACCATATGGCAGTGGTGTATTGTCAGGCAGTCCTCCAAGAATGGCTTTCACAAACAGAGCACACATCCCCTCTTGCCTCCTGCTGATGAGATTCTATTATACTCACCCTGCCAGTCTTAAGCTGTGCCTGCTGAGGGAGGGGCACTTCCTGCAGGAGAGGCACTGCTCCTCTCTCTTTGTATGTGGACCCCTCACCTGCACTTCCTGCTGTTAGTTTATGGAAGTCAGAGTCAACCACCAATGAAAGAGCTCTTTTTCTAGGAATGCAGATTACAACCTCAAGAGGCCAAGAGAAAACATAGTTGGAAATAGGGTGTTCTATATTTGCCCTATAAAATTCTGAATGGTAAACTTAACAGGACCAGAAAACAAGTATTGGTCACATTTTCCTGCATACTCTGGAGAAGACTTGCATCACTGAAGCACAATACTGACCTTGAGAAACTTATGGATGCTGGTGTGGATAGACAGTGCAATGTCCTGAATGATAATGTAATCAGTGTCACAGGTGTGCTGTTGGAGAACAGTAGGAGCACAAAGATCTGTACTGTTTAATGTAAGTAGGTTTGACAGAGTTGTGTCCTTGTATTTATTACAGCATTGCTACTGTTTTCTCCTAAGGGCCATAGAACCCTAACTAGGATTGGTGCACTGAACAATAAGGTTCACAAAGAGATAGTCTCTGGGTTTGAACAGGAAGAGATGGGGCTCAGAGTCTACAAGGAATCTTTTGCATGGGCTCATGGGACAATAAGCAATGCCTAAAAAATTTTTATCTGCTCCTTTAAAATCACCAGTCTGAGAGGATATTGTTAATAGTGTATCAGAATTTAAAACCCACATTACTCACACTGCTCTATTTAGGTAGATTATATTCTGTTCCAGTTTGTCTACTTGTACTAGATCTCCAGCTATTCCAAAGATAGCAGGACATACCAAGGTAACCATCCTCAATTTCCTATTAACTTATCTGAAGCCCTGTATAACTTATACCATTTTATCATGACGATCTTAGTAGAGTCTGGTTTGTTAGACTGCTATTTGTTGTCAACAGATTTTATTCAAATCTGTTATGATTGATAGTATCAAGTCTTAGAGAACAGGCAACTACACTGAAGATGACAAGATTCACTAGGACACCCATTCTGGTTTGATTATTATCTGCTTTTGAAGTTTTACACTGTCTACAATGTTGTGTTTTTATTAATATTGTTATGTACTGCTACATTTAATTATACTATGCCTGATGACATAGACAATTCCATTGAAGATGGAGTCAACCACCAATGAAAGATCCATTGAACAATGAATGGATAACACAGTAACCTTTGTAGATCACTTTGTACTGTGGTTTTAT